ACAATGTAGCTAGCTATTCATGACCAGCTTATTTAGTTTAGCCTCATGTTTAAAGGTTCATCATGTATTATGTTTCTGTATTTCATCTCATATTATGGCCAAATCGTATCTGCTTTATGGACTCACATTTCATTTTCCATCAGTTAATTATGAATAACATTACTATGAAATGTGGGTAGAAATGTAGATTTCATTTCTCTTGCATAGAATTGTTGAGTCATATGATAACCCTTTTGAAGGGATAAGTGTTTTTCAGAGCTACTCTACCTCCCCTCCCCAACCCCCAGTTAGCACAAATGAGACTTCTAGTTTTTCTATTTCCTTGTCAACACTTGGAAAAACATTTATTTTTATTTTACATATATGAGTGCTTGCTTGCATGTAAGTCTGTACCTTAAGTGTGCACTGCCCATAGAGGCCAGAAGAAGGCACTGGATTGCCTGGAACTGAACTTACAGATGGTTGTGAGCCACCCTGTGGATGTTGGGAATTGAACCTGGATCCCCTGGAAGAGCAGCCAGCGCTTTTAACCAAAGAGCCAGCTCTTTTCAAGTCTTTCTTTTTCTTCTACTTCTTTAACTGTTGCAAGCCTGTGGGTATGAGTGGCATCTCAATGTCGCTTGGTTTTCATTTCCCTAGTAACAAATGATACTGAGCATCTTTGCATGCTCAACATACACCATCCACTTGTAGATCTTCACGGCATACATGCCTTTGACAATTTAATAGACTATTATTTAAAATAGTTTGAGTCACAAAAAGTTGAGAAGTTAGTATAGAGTTCCCAAGTGACTTATATTCATTATTCCTACTAATAACATCTTATATTAGCATGGCACATTTATCACAACTAATGAACCAATATTAATGTATCATCATTAACTACAACCCAACTTCACCCAGACTTCCTTTGTTTTTTACTGCATGCTCTTTCTATTCTAGGGCCCCTCCCAGGATACGACACATTTAACGGTCATGTTTCCTGGGCTCCTCATGGCTGAGAGAGCTTCACCAACTTTTCTTTGTTCAGTTTGTTTCTAATGACTTCGATGCCACAGAGGAGTGCCAGTCAAGTATTTTATGGCTACCCCATGATGTCTTTCTTGTGATTTGAATGTAACATAGGCTTGGGGAAAGATCACAGAGGTAAAGTACCAATTTCTTTACATGTTATCAAAGCCACATATTTGTGGACATGATTCATGCAAGTTGATGTTGATAAATGAAAGGCTGCCAATTTGGCTTTTTCTATATCATAGTACAGACATTCTGGTTACATTTTCGTTTGCTCTAATCATATCTAAGCTACTACAAAGTAAGAGAAACCTACTTTACCTGAGGCTGGCTTCTACTTTAGACAAATAACATAGGAAAGATGAAGGAATACAAATCAAGGTATTTCAAGCCTCTGGTCAACATCTTCAAACACACACACACACACACACACACACACACACACACACACACACAGAGAGAGAGAGAGAGAGAGAGAGAGAGAGAGGTGCCAAAAACTTTTCAGTTAATTTTCTATGATTTTCTTGGCAGAAGATTTTTTGGATTCCTCAAATTAACAGTGGGATAAAGAGTCAAACTATAGCATGAATTCTCTTTGGTCTTAAACTACAGCAAAATTTACGTGATCATCACCATGGAGGAGGGAGCTCTCAGTAATCCTGGTAGTGTCCAAGATGTCTTGATTCTCTGCTCAGCTAATCTTCCCTAGCAGAGATTAAGTGCAGTGTGTATAGAGAGATAGACAGCTATGCTTCAGGCAGGAGATCAACAGAAGTGGACTCATTCCACACCCTTAATTCTTTAGTACAGAAAGATTCTATATTTGTGATTGGCCAAGAAGGCAGAGGCAGTTAAAAAAAAAAAAAAAAAAAAAAAACTACATGTGAAAAAAACTACATGTGCTGTACAACTTCTAGACAAGTCAGTTTCCTGACACATGGTGACTGGTGATTAATTACTTATTAGAAGGTAACATTTCTATAGAGAGTCACTGGAAATACAGATGCTGTTGTCCATGCTTGATTAGACACTGCTTGAGGAGTGCCAAGGCACACTGTTGCAATCCATTAATTCTGGCTATTTTGGCATTTATTTTACATTGCCTCAAATTTGGCAGAATTGATAGAGCCCATTTCAGAAAATCAACCCCTACCTCAAAAAAGGAGGGGAAAATAAGGCAATAAAATATGTTCACATGAGAACGAGAACAAAAATAAGAAAGAGATCATGGACTAGCAAAGCTACATTACTACTTTTGGTAATATATCCTGCCTTATAAAATTGAGAGATATTCTTGGTTCCTTATGAGTGGGTAGAAAGGTGGCTATATTTATTGATTACAACTTTCAGGGCAGAGACCCTCACTGGTCATCTTACAAATTCTTCATTAGCCTTGATGTGGCGTCTACTTACTTTCCCACCACATCTAGTGACCACTGACTGTGTTCCAAGCACTGAGGAAACAATGTGAAACTTCCCATTGAGTAAGAAAGGTGCTCTCTGAACCATCTGGAGTGCAGAATCCATGTTATATGGTCACACCAGCCTGTGCAATCCATTACAGAATACGGGTAACACGAGACACACCCATCCCTGGTGATCACGTTCACCTTTTACCTACTCCTTGGACATAGTTCAGAAATCCAACTGTGAAAGGCATGGCCATGCTGCCATTAGATTATACCCTGCAGAAACCCTTCACTGGGACATGGCCCACTGATGCCAATCTCAATGCTTCCCGACGCAGACACTGTTTTTTCAGTATGTGTTTGGGCCCCATACTGTCTGCCAAGAACTGTGTTAATTTACTTATTTCAGCTAAATAAAAAAAAATCATTTAAAAAAGGATGATTGAATTTAGGAATTATATTCCTCAGAGAATTAGTAATGGCTCTTTGTATCCCTCAGGCCTCCATGTTCTTAACTTCCCCTTGTCAATGTTATTATGGATAGACTAATTCAATAATGAGATCATTTCCCCTAAGAGCGGCCAAATAGATGCAGCATTCAGTCACACCTGGTTTCCCTAATCTCAACAAGGAAGGCTTTCCACCAAATTTATCCTAAAACATGGAATTTAGTCACACACACACACACACACACACACACACACACACACACACACACACACTTTCCTGCAAACAGTAGGAAAAATACAGAGGAAGAGAGGGACAGAGAAGCAAATGGGTAGCAATACAACAAATAGATCGAAATACAACGAAAGCTAAAAAGGAATCTATGCGGGTCACTTTCAAAGCAAAGAGCCCCCAGTACAAATGTCTTTACCACTGTCAAAGTCATATGGTACTCTTAAATACTCAAAACCCGTTTCAATGTTCCCTGAACTTCTAGAGGAATCTAAGATTCAAATGGAAAGAAAGCAGTGACAAATAAGTAGAAACATTCTAGATTATTAAAAACAAAAATTTTCCTAGCTAAAAGGGCTTTGAAAGTGAATTTTGCGGACTGACCTATCTGTAAGTAACAGAGCATGGCGGGAGGGTGGGAGGAGTTGCTAATATACTGTCATCCACATTCTACAACACAGTTGTCAGTAAAGCACAGAGGGTTGGATTATTTAATATACAATATGGAGACCAAATGAAGCAAAATCATTTTAACCCTACCATTTAAAAAAGTCTCTTAAAGGAGAACACTATGAATTGGGACAAGCAAACCTTGAGAAGAAAAAGGGTAATGACTCCCGTCCCAGTTGGGAGAAAACTGGACAGGTTTCAACTGTAGAAGCAAGGTCACAACAGGCACATGCAAAGCTAACTTCAGCACTTGTTTACCATTCGAGAAACAAAATGCAAAAATGCTAACATCCAAAGTGATTAGAAGACAAGTTTCCGTTAATGTGCAATCATGGATTTGCGCACTTGTTGAAAGTAATATTTCCTAGAAGCATTAGTATTTGAAAAAAAATCCTGTTTTCAAAGATTATTATTGATATGGGAAAATGCAATGAATACATTTAAAGTTACATTAGCATAGTCACAATTTTGTAAAAAAGAGAAATCTTATGCATATGTTTGTGTGAAAAGTCACATACTTTTGTACTGTGTATGTGTACATGTATGTACTCAACAAGCATGTGCTCAAAGCCAGGAGGGGTAGGCCAGATATCACTGTCTCTAGGCCAAAGGTTTATCAACTTATATATCTTGTGGAATATGCATATACTACTCTTTTACTCAGAAAAAAATAAATCATCAATTCTTAATAGCATGAAAAACTCAAGTATGAGGCCAGTGACACAGTTCAGCAGGTAAGAGTACTTGTCACCAAGATTGATGGCCGATGTCAATCCTAGACTCTACATGGTGCAGGGAGAAAACCACATGTTGCACTCTGCGTTATCTTCACACACACTCTATGCACATGCTCCCCCATCCCGCTCTTCCCCACCTCCGTCATCAAGTAAATAAAAGTGAAAAACGTTTAAAAGTAGAATTTAGGTTAAGCAGTGGGAAAACTACGGTCCAGAGGGTTGTTAAACTTTGACTAGAGTTTTGTAGACTTACTATCTCTGTCACTTAAGGATATTGCCTTCTTTTCTTTTTCTCGTGTGTGTGTGTGTGTGTGTGTGTGTGTGTGTGTGTGTGTGATAGGAATGTATATGAGTATACTTGTTTAAATGGATGTGTGTGCTTACATGTGGAGGTCTGATGCTGATGTCAGACAGCTTCCTGTCATTTTTCTACTTTATCATGAACCAAACCCAGGTCTTGGTCTGGGAAATCCTAGTCTTTTCCTTCCAAGGCTGGAATTAAGGGGGTCTGCTATACCCACTCACATGACATATACTTGGATTCTGAGGATTTGAACTCTGGTCCTCCTGCTTGCACACATACTTTAACTGCTAAAATATTTCCCCAGCCACATTTTTTTTTCTTTTTTAAAAACAAGTCTTTTAGCAATGAGCAGCCCATTACAGGCAGTGAGCTTCAGTGTAAGAAACCTAGCCCGATATTTCCTTATACCTTGCAAAGTCCAGGTCTGCCTCCCGTGACATAGTGATGTTGGTCAAATTCTGCTGAAGAACAAAAATGTTTCTACACATTTTCTTGATGCCAGACTCACTGATGCGCCGGAAGTACTGGGCCCCATTAATGAGGATGCAGGAGATGAGGTGTCCCAGACCTGAGGGGTTAGCACAGTGTAGTGAGGAGACAAGAAAAATATATTAGTGGCATCTGGCTTAAACTTATACATAGGATTGCTCTTTTTCATCCCCCAAAGGTTTAAACGACTCAAGAAAACATATATCTCAGTTGCAACAGCTAAACTTGTAATAATTTTATAATATTTCTACATTGTTTTAGTAGTTGCAATGGGAAACTTAATATAGTCAGGTAAATTTGGTATATTCACAACCAAGCCCTTCATACTCACCTGAAGCCACCATCCATAAAGGTGTCCATCAGGGCGCTATAAGCTACGGACACACGAAGGAACTGTACTATATGTGTGGATATTTGGAGAGATCTGTTTGGTCTCTCCTACTCATGAAACAGAGGAAGGTACGTATTTGTCTCTGAACATAACTGGGAGCCTACATATATAAAAACAAGTCAGTCCTAAGATGACCATTATGAGCAATAATGCTACTCTTTAGCTTTCCATCACATTAGCTGTCTTCCAGCAATTCGCCGAAATGACAAACACACAGGGAAAGAGGAAGACCCTAACCCTTTTAGGTAACATGGAGTTGTTCCTTTGGCCACACACAAACACATCTACAAAGGGGGTACTGTACACACCAAGGGAATATACACTGTTAAAAAAAGAACGTCCCATAAGTGTTACCACAGCAAAACTAGAAGAATTTCCTACAGTGTCACCCAGCAGGCCACGGCCATCATGGTGAACAGGCAAGTTAAAGGCAGCAAGACTTTTGCCAAGAGAATTAACGTGGAGCACTCTAAGAGCAGAGACAGCTTCCTGAAGCGGGTGAAGGCACTGGCCTGTTTCAGCCAGAGAAGCTCACTTTGTGAGAACTAACAGAGTGGAACCCGAGCTGCTGGAGCCCACTGCAAATGTACTTATGGCCTAATGTGCAAAAAGAAATAAAGGACCTGGACTGTAAACAAACAACAATGCTGATATTTAAAAAAAATCAATAGATAAAATATGGGCTCCTGGAAACAATGCTAAAGGATTTCAGCATTGGCTATAGGGTGAATTTGTAACACAGTATACATATTTTTTTTTGAGACAGGATCTCACACATTAGGGACTGGTCTCAGACCTGACCTTCCTGCCTCCACCTCTCACGTGCTGGGATTACAGGCATGTCTTAGCATGCTGGGTGGGTTTATATAATGCTTAGGGTTGATTTAAGGCTTTTTGTGTACACTAGGCCAAATACTCTACCAACCGAGCCAAATTTCCAGCCTTTAGGAACTGCTTTATAGTTTATGAAATTTGGCAGAGGGCAAAAGAGGAAATAAAAAAAAAACTACAAGGATTCATTTTGTCTTTTTGGTTGTGAATCTAGCCTTTAATGGTTGGCCTATCTTTCTAGCCCCAGGACTCCTTTTGGATAGCAATACTTAGGCTGAGGAATGATGGATCGTTCAATACAACATAATGCAGTTATAGGTCACACCTTTAAGAGGTAGATTTAATTTTAAATGTTTCTTCACTCAGATTGCCCCATTTTTGAAGACTTAGCTTCTAGTAGGGCATTTTCCTCAGAACTCTAGAGCCACCCTAGGTAGTAAACTGTTACTGTTATCTTCCTTTCCTAGAGTCTCAGTACCCTCATGGCAACTAGACTTAGATCAGTGAACAGTGCACATCTCAGGTTCAATGTCTTACTCTAGCTTCACAATGAGTTTCTCCTCAGCTGAGGTCAAAGTAGAAGAGACCAAAGACAGGACATTCTCTCTTGCTTTATGTGGGAAGCCACAGCCCCAAGATGGTGCCTGGCTGGATGCCAGGTAGTCCGAGCTTAGCTGTAAACAAGCCTTATTTGGAAGTGCTTGATGGATCTGGTGCACTTCCTCCTTCTGTGGCCTATCCGGGATTGCCAGGTGGCATGAGCTGATTGGGCACTGAGCGACCATTTAAGGGCTTGCTGGGGCTGGGGGAGGCGGAAGCTGATGTACAAGGTTCCTGAATAAACTGCTTGAAGAAGAGTCATGGTAGTGTTTCCTTGCTGGCCGAGGTAGACGCCACAGCTTTAGCTGTTCTCAACCAGTATTTCTTTAAGACCACAGACTTGTGCTATTTACAGTGAAGAAAGAGATTTGGGCTCAGAGGAAAAGAAACATAACATGGATCTGTTATTTTAGCTAGAAAAATCTTTTCAAGTTGAAGTCTGGTCTACCCTGGTATAGAAAGTGTAGGTGATGAGGGGGTATGTCTGATTTTAAGGCATAAAATATTAATAACTTAAAATATCATTAAATAAATTCAGGCACATGAAGAAGAATGTGCTCTTCCACAGGGCATGGAAGAATGACACCAGAAGGAAAGAGAAAGCTCTGTGTGGCAACAGTGACAGGCTCTGACGGACAGAGGCTTGAGGTTGCATATGATTCTACAGCCACTCTCAACGTCACAACACTAGCCACTGGCTCACGTCATAACTACTTGCATTTTGGGGTACAATCTCCTTCAGAACACGTCTATCTCCATGACTCTAATTTTAAAATTTCATGGTAAAACGGGATTCAACTATTCTGGGACAAGGGTTGCAAAGCTGCTATGGTAACAATGTTCTCATAAAGCCAGCAATGGCCACGCACCAAACATCTTTTAGTCTGTAGCTTGTCACATTTTTTAGATAATGTACTCCTTTAAACAAAAGATTCATCCATTTATGTACTTTATGTATATGGTTGTTTTGTCTGCATGGACATCTTCACACCAGAAGAGGGCATCAGATTCCATGAGACTACACTAGCAGGTGGTTGTGAGCCACCATGTGGGAGTGGCCGCGAGATGTGCAGCCAGTGCTCTTAGCCACTGAGCCATCCCTTCAGCTCTGACAATGTACCTAAGTGTCCTATTCTGTGCGAAGACACCCTGGCCCATACTTTAAAAGACAAAATGAACGATGACCCTGAAGGGCCACGTTGGAGGACTGTGTACCAGAGGGTCTGTGCTAAGGGCCTCCTTCTTGTGGGCATTCTTGGAGGAGGTGGGACCTTTAGGATTGAGGCCTAGTAGGGGCTGCTGTTAGCTACTGGTCTCTTTATTCAACACTCTGGCCACAAGGTCAGCAGCTCTGCCGTTAGCTCTTGGCCTCTGCCTTCTGGCCTCCTTACCTATTCTAACTCACTTAAAAGCCATGGGCCTCTTGGTCACAAATAGGAAAATAAGCCTCTTCTCTTTAAGGCTTAATTATTTTGTGTACTGTATTATAGAGAAAAGTTCCTATGGTAGAATTCAGCATCAAGAATCATTTGGTTTGCACCATATTTTCTAAACGTTTGAGGGCAAATATCCTCAGGTTGATGGAGGCGGCTGATAGAGGGCATTAATGGAAGCAGCCGCCCTAAGTTACTGCAGAGCAGGGAGTCTGTTCACTTCAGGGAGTAATGCATTCTGTGAGAGACTTCCCCTTCCAGGTACTAAGGACCAGAGACAGATTTCCCAGAGTTCCTGACTCACTGTCTGCATATGTGTGAACCTTTTCGCTTTCTCTCCTACCTGTCTTTAAATGAGCTCTTCTCAAGTTAATTTGTAGACCATTCTATACATCTGCCCAAATCTCAGTGGCATACATGTCTAGGTAGACGGAAGACAGACATCTGCATTATCTTAGATAAAAATCTCCGATTGGCCAGGAGCGGTGACACCTCTATCTATTTACTCATACATGAAGCTAGGCACAGCAGTTCTAAGCCAAACACACCACTGAACAACTTTCCCTTAGAGGTGTTAAGTGTCTGTAATATAGCCATTCATGAACACCTTCACCCTTCTTCCCTCCCATGCTCCCGGGTACAAGAAGCAAGCTCTGACCTTCAAAGATGTATTGGAACTTGTGCTGCTGAAGGCTGGCGCTCATGGCCTCTTCCATGGCACTGATGTCTTTGTTGAGCTTGACCACCAGCGGGTCATAGTCCATACTTTCCACATTGGCAACGATGGCATAATTCCCCTCCTTTGCCAGGGGGATGAGATAGTGGAAACAATGAACCCTGAGAGAGAGAGAGAGGGAGAGAGAGAGGGAGGGATGGGAGGGACAAATGAAAATGAACATTCTCCACGAAGACAGGGGTCTGCTTGGGAAAGAGCATCCAAGCAGCTGAAGCAGCTGTGGCCTTGTGCACTTTTACACCCCCCAGTAGTCCCTTTTTAATAACCAAAAGGCCGTCTTAGCTGGACAGCTGAGTGATTTGAAGCAAGCAGGCATCTAAGAGGTTCGCCCATTTAATACATACACTTTTGATAAGAAATTGTGACTTGTGCTATTCTTGCAATGCCAAGACTGTGTGCACAGTAGGTGCCAGGGGTGTCTCTCAAAAGATGACAATGAGAGGCTGAATTCCCATCCTCAGTGCTATGCTACTGTGGGAGACCACTGATGTTTGTTTCCTAGTTTTGACATGTACAGCTTTAACATATAACTTCAGGAAAGATACTGGAGTCTTTCTATGCCTCAATTTCCCTTGAAATGGGCACACTAATAACTCTTGGCTCAAAGGGCCAAGATGTGAAGGACACACACAGTAAGAACTGGCAACTGTCACTAGTATTATAATAATCATTGCTACTTTATTATGTGACTAAGTCACTCACTGAAGGTGTTTAAAATTGCTAGAAACTATGCTAGAACCTGGAGCTGTAAGACAGTTTTTGCAGCATTGAAGACTCCAAAGGTTATTGGGGCAGAATAATAATAATGCCTAAAAGAATGGGCTAGAGAGATGGCTCAGTGGTTATGAACACCTGTGACTTCCACAGAGGATCTGAGCTCAGTTCCCAGCACCTACACACTGGCTCACAACCATCCATAACTACAGTTTTTCATTCTCAACTTGACTAGCAGATATACCTCTGAGTAGAAATTTGAGGGTATTTTCAGACAAGTTTAACTGAGAAGAGGAGAATATATGTGGTACCATTCCATGTACTCGTGTTCCAGGCTGAATAAGAAGGGGAAAGGAAGGAAGCCACTGGGTACCACTCTCCATCTGTCACTATGTTTCCGGGCTATAGATACAGTGTGACCCATGCCTTCCTGTTCAAGACAGACTATATATCCCTCCAAACTGTAAGCTGAAACAAACAACCCATTTTTTTTTTTTGAGTTGCTTCCAGCTTTGTGTAAATATACATTTTCATTTCTCTTAAGCAATTACATAGAAGTAGGCTTCACTGAGTCAGAGGCTAAGGGTACCTCCAGCTTTGGAAGAAACAAACTACTGTGTTAATGGGCTGTGCAACACACGAGTGTTCTAGTATTTCTGTATTCTCACTAGCACTCAGTGTGCCAGTTAAAAAGAATTTGGGTTTTTTTTTTTGGTTTGTTTTTTTGGCCCATGTAGATGCATTATAGTATCTCATAGTGGTTTTAATGTCCATCTTTCTAAAGAGTAATGATATTGGGCTCTTTTTGTATGGTTACTTCCATTCATCTACGGTGACACAGTGCTGTCTACAGAGGGCTGACTCCTTCTACGTCAATTAGCACCCGAGACAAGCATTGACACTAGATGTTGTCCAGGTGACAACAGAGTACAACCAAGAAAAAGGCACCACGAGTCTTCCCTCTACTGCTCTCTACTTTTTATCTTGAGGCAGGGTCTCTCACTGAACTGGAAGCTATTGGGCTGTTTTGTCCCCGATAAGATCAAAGGGTCAGCCTACCTTTCCCCTCTGCCCCCAATGGGGTTACAGGTACTCACAGCCACATCTAGTTTTTATCTTACATGGTTTCTAGTAATTCAAACTCAAGGCCTCCTGTGTATACAAGTGCTCATACCAGTGAGCACTTGTCTCAAGCAATATCCTCAGAATTTTTCATATACGGAAATACAAATATAAAACGACTGTAGTTCATGTTTACTGATATGTGCATATCCTCACAGCTGCTAATTAATAAGTAATGTCACCAATAAAAAGTTCAATCTGACATCCCTGAGTTAATTGGCAAAGTGAACAGTTTTGATCAAGATTCAACTAAAGGCTCTGGCCATAGGCCATCTCCAGTGTGATCTTCCCGACTTAATGAAAGATGACTCATCTGGGAGGAGGAATCTTGACTAGGGAATTAATCACTACCTTGCAGAAATTAAATCGAAGTAGCATTAGCTGAAATACAAGCATCTATACTGAAGTATTTTTAAAGTAGGCTTACAGTTGTGAAGCACAGACACACACCATAGGAAGACCATGCTGAAAGGAATGATGTTCCACGTGGGCAGTGGCTCTGACCAATAGTGAGAGGTCCCTTTTGTTCCATGCAGATCAGAGGAGAGAGACATGACGTGGGCGTAGGGACATGGGCAGTAAAATGTTGTCCTGGGCTTTCGAGGCCATCTAAGGAACCTGGGTCCTTTGTACACACTATTATCAATAAGCCATTTCTCCAGTCCCAAGAGAACTGTAACCAGGAAAACAATCAAATCGAATACTAGCTTTGGCACAGAGAAGGGGTAGACTGATGGCAGAACATGGAGACCGACAGAAGAAACAGGTGTCAGAAGACTCTGCAACACCGGAGGGTCACGGGATCCCACAGTTGGAGGCAGAGAGGAGACACAACCACTGTTGGGTACTATTTTATTTTTCCCAAATGATCGGAAAACACTGTCACCGGTGAATATCAAATTCAACAGTTTTATTTTTCTCTGGGTTCTGGTGTGTGGTTGCTGACCTTCGCCTGACTTTGGCATTAAGGTTCTCTGCAAACACTGCTGATTGCACAGCAGGATGGTTGATTTTCAGAAAGTGCACACTTAGGGTCCCATCGGTGACAGGCAGTTGCTGTTGAACCCACTTAGAGCCCCCCTGATGGTAAGGGAAATCAGCTGATAAAGGTGACATTCTTGGCAACTTAATTTTCTTTTTCTAAAGTTCAAATATGAAAAACAACCCTCAACAAGTTTTAATGGTCTCACCATCTCTTTCATTTCTTTGGGGGAGGGGTGTCATCTGCTTTCTGGCTCAAATTGTGGAAAGATAGTACATGGTGGTTAAATGTAACCTACAATGTCATGGGTAAAATGTCAAATGCTCTTTGGATGGGTTCTTCAACACAGAACCTGCTGAATTTGAGAACTTTTTTTTTTTGTTGTTTCTTTTTTTGCTTTGAACTTTAACAGTGTTGAAAAAAAATATGGGCTTTGGATATAAAGATATTTTGGGAGTAAGACGGAGTTTGGCATTTGAAGTTCTTCTGGAGTTTTGCTAGCACAAGCCATTAATACATTTCCCATGGCTTTCATTTTTCTTTGGATCCTAGTGCAGCGTTTTCATGGCTGTAAGTGCCAGCATTACTTTTCATCATGCCAGCCCCTGGACAGCACCTCTGTTGTAACCCTTTCACAACAGGACAGGGATGAAATAAGTATTAGAGAATTTTCAGAATATGGATGAGGTTGTTCCCACACCCTCTTGGTGGTTTGAATGAGCAACATCACACACGGGCTTGGTCCCCAGTTGGTGGTGCTACTTGGGGAGGTTATGGAATCTTTAGGGGGTTGACACTTGCTGGAGAAAGTCTGGTTACTAGGGGTGGGTCTTAGGGTTCTAGCCTCCTCCCCACTTCTTTTATTTTTCTGTTCCTATGTGTAGATGAGGTGTGATCTCTCCGCTTCCTGTTCCTGCTGCCATGCCTTTCTGGCCATGACAGACTGGAACTGTAAGCTGAACCAAACTCTCCTTACATAAGATGCTTTCGGTCATGGCATTTTATCACCAATGGAGAAACAATTGATACACCCTCTGTACTTGCAGAAGCACATGGTTGGCTTGCAAGTGGATGATCACGTGAAAATTCAATTTGTAAACCAACTCACTGGCTTTCAGAACAAAACAAAACTTAGTTTATTTATTTATTTTAAATTTGGGTTTGGTTTAAGGCCAGTTCATTCTTAGGAAGAAATCATATAGGGATCATGACTGGCTCAATTTCTGGGACCATTTATAACAGTGAACAGGACACACTGGAAGAGAGAGTAGTCTCTTCCACAACCTTGCGCTAAGGGTCTCCACAGTATCTGGCAGTTGCTTTTGGTATAACACCAACTCCCTACCAACGTGACGATTAGCATGACGTCTGTTTTATTTTATATCCTCACCACTGTTCCCCCTACCTCTATTGGCATTGTGAAACGACAGAACAGAGTGTATTGGCATTCACCATCTCAGTCATGCATGGAGAAATCTGTTTTGTGAACCATACATTAGGAATATGGACAAAATGTAGACACATTCATAAAAAACAAAGGGAATATTGGAACCAGGTTATAAGAAGAAAGTAAAGAAAAATGAATTTAGAAAAACTATGCTTAGTTTCTCAATCTATAGGAAAAATAATTCTCTACACTAAAACTGAGGCTAAATTTACCCTTTCCTGTTTTTTACATTATTACTGAAGGAGGCATGGACATGAATATCACAATTGTGTGATTTTTTTTTTAAAAAAAAAAAAGTTGACAAAGCATGTTTGCCATTATAAGAATAGTAACGCTAAGACGTACAAACATAAAAAAGACAGGACAGAGGTTAAGGATTTCAAAGATCTTACTCAAACGTGCTGAAAATATCCCGCCTGGAATTAACCACGCACAAGTCACTGATTCTGAATGTAGAACATGTCCTGAGACTGCACAATCAATAGCATAAATTCTAGCAGTTGTGAGAGTAATTAATTTGCTGTTCTTTTCTTTTGCTTTGCACCCCAGGGTAACAGCAGCCTCAAAATATTACTGGGTTTTCCTTTTTTTCCCCCTTTCTTCCTCATATGTCCACCGTGTTTATCTATTCATTGAAAATGCCTACTTTATTTCATTATCAGCTTGAAAAGAAATAGAAAATAATCTAAAGATTATCGTAAAACGAATCAGAAAACAGCGAGATGCTTTATTTCTGGACAAGTTAATGTAAGAAATAAGCTCAGGAATAATGAATGCTGAGCACAAGAGCTCCCAAACCTGCAGGCTCCTCCTTCTGCTCCACTCTCAGGGTGCTAACAAGCAGCACAGAGAGGTAGCTCACTGGCGGAAACGGAAGAATGCCAAAAGCAAGAGACATAAAAAGGAAGTGACGTTAGCATGCCTCAAAGCCATCCAAGTTTTAACTGGAATCTAAAGAGTTCAAAGTCTTCACTATGAACCAAACTCATTTTATATTTTTAAAACATAGACGTTATAGAAACTACAAATGAAAAAAAATATTTAATCAACTTTAATACTGTTCCCCCCCCCCAAAAAAAAAACACAGAAGAAAATGCACTACACACCACAGTAGGCTTCCTGATCTTGTGGTTTCAGAAGCCTATGTTCATCAATGTAGCTGGCATTGCTATCTAGATCTTAGATGGCCTCCTCAGAGTGAACACTCCGAGTCCTTGTTTTCTGCATCCTCTAGCCCACACCTCTGACCTTTCTTTCTGCTCTCTCAGTATGTTTTGCTTTAGTTGGGTGAGAACAGGCACATCTAGGGTGGTGTGGCCACAGACAAAGGTATAGCTAATGCTCCCATCTTCAGTATTTGTTCACTGGTGTTCATAGCTTTTGCATGCATAAATTCTAACGCTCTGAACAGGTGGTTTTCTGTGAGTCTTTTTTCTCATTGCCAAAAATCCTAAACCCAAGGCATATGAAATGCTCTCAAGTGAGAGCATGCTATTCCAGGTTTGAGTTTCTGGGTTAAGGATGCTCAATCTGTACAGCAACTTTATATGACTTATGTGGCTTGCATTTGTAGTTCATGTTTCTAAACAATAACAGCAGGGTATTATTATTTGAAACCATCAATTAATTTATGTGTGTGAGCACATCCATGAGCTAGCACGTGTGCAGGTCAGAGGACAACTTTTGAGAGTCAATCTTCTCCTTTCACCATGTGGGTTCCGAGGATTGTACTCAGGTCATCAGACGTGGTGGCAAGTGACTCAACCCTCTGAGCCTCTGATCATATCATTTTATCTTTTAGCTATGATTATCTGAAAATACTTTTTTGCCTTATCCATGACTGGAAGGTATGGGGACCTGGAATATTTAGCTCATCGCTAGCTATATCCCAATGTTTAAAGCACTGTTTGGTACAAAGATGACTGATAAAGTCGGGTGCTTGTGTCACCTGCTTTTAATCCCAGCACTTGGGAGGCAGAGGCAGGCAGATTTCTGTGAGTTTGAGGCCAGCCTGGTCTACAAATCTACACAGAGAACCCCTGCCTTGAAAACCCAAAAAGATGCCAGTTAAACTGCTCAACAATGAGGGGACAAGGGGAGATGTTCTGCTTATCCCTCTCATTTACAACTGTACTGTAAACATCTGCATGGCCAGTGTCTTCCTGATGCAGGGGAAGGGACACAGCATCCTTAAAACCCTACTCTTGGATCATTCTTTTCCTTAATCTCCTTGATCGGATTTTACGTTTGTTGAAGGAGGGCTTTGTGGTTTTTGGATATAACATCCTTTTTGATTTGCAAAAATATCAATGATGATAAGGGTTATACATTTTGACTTAATACGTGACAGACATGGTAGAAAATATTCAAGGTTTTCCTTCATAAAATTTAAGGTAGAAACTGCTATTTTCATTTTAAGAGGAAACTGAAGCTTTGCAAAAATAACCAGCTAGCCAACCCTCAGATCACCTACATGGTTGGTGAGCACATGTAAATCCAGGTTGCATCACAGGTCACACATCTCGAGTCACCACACTCACATATGTGAGTCCAGCATATGCTCACCTCCTTTAAGAACAGTGAATACTGCTAAGCATCATGCTCACCATACAAAGTGGACAGCATCAACTGTAAAAACTGCAAATTATGGTGGCACTCCACGCACCCAGAGACCGTTCCTGACTCATGCCAGAGGGGGCCCTGGTACCACAATTTCCTGTGCTTAGTTGGGTCGTACCTCACTTCTAGATGCAAGACAAGCAGGCAGCGGTCAGCCATATCCTGGAAGGACTTGGCAAGTTCACTCAGTGTTTGCATGATCTGTTCGGACACTGGCGGAAGGTCCATGTTCACATGGCTCTCCTGAGCAGGAGACAGCACTGGAAGAAGAGGAGAGACAAAAAGCCATCATTTTATTAGATCTGAGGGATGAGAAAGAGGGAGGTGGTGGTGGGTTGTATGCCTCTTTAATTCACAAATAACCTATGACAGGCCCCTTTCTCTAACTTTCCAAAGGACTTCATATCTTACTACAGAGATACTTGTGGATCCACATTCGTAGCTGCTTTATTTGCAGAATCCAGGAAATAGAATCACTCTGATGTCTAACAAATGGATGATGAGATAATGGAATTGTGCTTTAATGGCAATAACCACCCTGAGTGAGGAAACCCAGATCTAGAACAACACATGTCATATGTTTCTGCTCATATGCAGGTGTTAGCTTTGAATCTTTAGGTATGCATGTTTAAATTGGAGAACCCACAGAAATTGGGAAACTAACAAGCGGCCATAAGGGGATTTCAGAGAAAGGACAATAGAATGTGAGTAATGTGAAGTTTGGAAGAGGAATAATGGAACAGGAGGGGCTAGGGTAGGAGGCGAGGATAGAGAAGGGAGTATGGGGGAGGTTAACACCAAAGTCCTTTGAAAACAGCATATATAAACTTACTAATTCAGAAACTCTCTCTCTCTCTCTCTCTCTCTCTCTCTCTCTCTCACACACACACACACACACACACACACACACACACACACGGGTCAACACCTCCTTCAGACACTATAGGCTATAAAATAATAAAAAGGCCAGTCCCATCCAGGTATTAGTTACCTCCTTTTGATTTGTTGGTCAATATAGTCTTGTATATGTTGCCAAACATTACAGGCAATTGTCATTGCTCTTGATTACTTGATGATAATACCCTACTTCTGAAGAGACTGTGTATCTGAGTTATAGGACATGAAATAAAACAAGCTGATAATGACCTGGGAGTTTCATCCATACAGCCACAACTCATAGTGCTGGAAGGTTTTGTGCATGTTATGAAATGAGAAAAGTCATCAACAGTCTCACTCAGTGAACCTTATAAGCTATAATAATGCCTGGCAAAATATATGGCAGGAGTATCATGGAGTAACCAACTACTTTCTGCTTGGAATTAAAGCCCACCCCACAAGATGGGCTTTACTCCTAGTAGCAAATCTTTGACTGGCTCAGTCATGGGCATAAAAAGATACTGTTGTCCTGATAATCAACATAGTAATATGCATCCTTAAGTTTCTAATCTTTATACTCATAAACTGATTCCCTGTTCAACCCTCTTCATAGAAGCTTCATTTTGCAGTAGATGGTAATGAATACAAAGACCCACACTGGCCAACATGCATAGAGTCTGTGGAGTGCTCAGTTCTAAATGTCAGTATTGCTTCTCTGTTCTTTGCCAGAGAACTTGGGTCTTCTGGAAGAAGGATCCTTGGACTTGGGGCCTGCCACAGGATCTGCTAGGACACCACAACTCCAGAAACAGGCAGTCAACAACTGCCCAAGCAGTGTCAAAATGCGACCTCTTTATCACATCCTTTTCTGGAAAGGTTTGCGGCTCATTGAAGACTGTAGGAATCAGAGGGGGTGATGCCTGCAGTAGAACAGTGTTTGCTGATGTGGCAGAACAGTTGCACATACGCACTGTGTGCCCATGAGTTGCCAAAATTCTAGAATGGGTGTGGAGGAGCTCACCCAGGTCCACCTGTATCTGAAGAGCCGCTGGCATCTGATGGGTTCTGCAGGAGGAGTCTGAGCAGCTACTCATTCTCCTGTCCACGGTTCTCCATCTAACACATACAGGCAGTACTAAGTGGACTAAGGGTATTAAAAAACTTAAAAAGAAAGGCGAGTGCACATGAAGTTGGCAGGGAAGAGTGGTGGGGAGGATAAGAGAAGACTTGGAGAATAGATTTGATCTAAAACATTGTATACATAGATGACTATTAAATGAAATATCAAAACACTTAACTAGATTCCTTAAGAAAACACTGAACAGCTGCAGTGGGAGCTTTATCTGCTTAAGCATCTCATAGTTGTTGGAGGTCACCAACACAACTTTGGCCACTCTAGTCAAGACTTCTTTTAGCTCTCAACTGTTGTACTTATTCCTGTCTCTAGCAAGGAGCAAGAGCCAATCTATTCAAATACTTCTTCTTAGTCTTTTGTGTAAAAGGGACAACTGTGTCACATAGTGGTAAATGGGTTGACATAGGAAAAATACAATATTAACACACGAAGCTTTCTCAGTATTCATCTCAGTCAGAAACATAAACAGCCGTTACTCTTCCTTAGTCTTTTAACTGTCTAAGTTAAATCTTAATAATTACAGCCAGAAACATATCAAAGTTCAGGTTCCAGTCACCTGCACAGTTTTGCATCCTTGTCAGAGAAGCTTTTTCCCTGCTGGGGGACACTAGTCCTTTGCAGAAGGGATCTGTGGGTGTGGAGCCTACCATACGACCCACTGAAACATCACTAACTCACTTTAAAGGGAAGGAATCACCACCTGCCCAAGTATAGTCTATGAGGGTTATATCTTTTTCCTTACTACCAAGCCCAAGTGAGGACCAGGCATGTTATCAGGCATGTTACTTTTAAGGCTACAGTTTCTTTTGGATCCATATTCCTAAGAATTAAAACAACATCCCATGAGCAGAAACAAGTGAGTTATTCAAGGGAACTGATGTGTAGGGAGAATATAGTAATGGAGATTTAAAATTCTAACAATCCCCAAACTATCCTAGCTATTCACAGACTCGATATGTTGGAGAGTGGACGTAAGACACTGCGTTTCCTCTCAAATGTTAATGTTATTCATGTTGCTTTATGGCAAGGCAACATCACTGCCATCATAACGTTTCATGCAGCAGGCTAGATGAAAGCAACTTTAAGTAACATTATTATAATATTCCAGAGCACTTTAGGGCTTTTAAAACTCTGAATTCATTTTGCATGTGACATAAACTCTGGTTCACAGAATTATCTATACACATCAATGAGAACAGGCAGGGATTACTCTGACATTGTACTCATGGTTTCAAGCTCCCAAATACTATAACTGACCAAATACTACCAAAAATATTTTGGGTAAAATCCATTAAAAAGCTAGGCATCCTTCTTTTATTATATAAACAAATAACTTCACCATGTGGAAACTGACCACTCCCAAACTGTCAGAAGCAAAAATTAATACAACAGAACCAAAACCCAAACCAGAATAAGCAGATGGCAGGCTCAGCTGCCACATGAAGCTGGCAGTGGCCATGGTAGGAGCAGCATGGAATAATGGAGAGCTATAGATTGTGTCTGACTGTAAGGTACAGTAAGGCTATGGCATAATATTAAAGTAACACGATAACTTACATCTAGAGCTTCCCTGAAATGGCTGCCTGTAAATTCCTGAGAGCTTCCTGAAGTTTACAAAGTTTTCTTAAATAAGAAGGAATATAGAGCAAAGAAATGCTGAGCATGGCAAAGATAGCACAGAACAATTAACTGCCTCTTAAATGTCAAGTGACAGTGTTGATAGATTCTGTTTGCAGTTAAGAAATGAGATTACTGGACACCCATCCCCCACACACTCATAACATCCCCACCCCCACTCCTAACCCCCACTCCTAACCCCCACTCCTAACCCCCCCTCCTAACCCCCCCACTCCTAACCCCCTCTCCTAACCCCCACTCCTAACCCCCCCTCCTAACCCCCCCTCCTAACCCCCCCTCTCCCTAACCCCCCCACTCCTAACCCCCTCTCCTAACCCCCACTCCTAACCCCCCCTCCTAACCCCCCCTCCTAACCCCCCCTCCTAACCCCCCCACTCCTAACCCCCCACTCCTAACCCCCACTCCTAACCCCCACTCCTAACCCCCACTCCTTACCTCCCACTCCTAACCCCCACTCCTAACCCCCACTCCTAACCCCCCACTCCTAACCCCCCACTCCTAACCCCCCCACTCCTAACCCCCACTCCTAACCCCCACTCCTAACCCCCTCTCCTAACCCCCACTCCTAACCCCCCCTCCTAACCCCCCTCCTAACCCCCCACTCCTAACCCCCCCACTCCTAACCCCCTCTCCTAACCCCCACTCCTAACCCCCCACTCCTAACCCCCCACTCCTAACCCCTCCACTCCTAACCCCCACTCCTAACCCCCACTCCTAACCCCCCTCCTAACCCCCACTCCTAACCCCCACTCCTAACCCCCACTCCTAACCCCCCCACTCCTAACCCCCACTCCTAACCCCCACTCCTAACCCCCCACTCCTAATCCCCCACTCCTAACCCCCACTCCTAACCCCCACTCCTAACCCCCACTCCTAACCCCCACTCCTAACCCCCCCCTCTCCTAACCCCCACTCCTAACCCCCACTCCTAACCCCCACTCCTAACCCCCCCACTCCTAACCCCCCCACTCCTAACCCCCCCACTCCTAACCCCCCCACTCCTAACCCCCACTCCTAACCCCCACTCCTAACCCCCACTCCTAACCCCCACTCCTAACCCCCCACTCCTAACCCCCACTCCTAACCCCCCCACTCCTAACCCCCACTCCTAACCCCCCACTCCTAACCCCCACTCCTAACCCTCACTCCTAGCCCCCACTCCTAATCCCCCTACACTCTTAACACCCCCCACAATCCTAACCCCCCCACACCCATAACCCCCACATACTCATACCCCCCCACCCGTAACACCCCATACACTCATAACACCCCCACAAAATACCACACCATAGACCTTCATATCACACCACACACTATACTTAGCCACCCACTCACCTCACACACCTACACACCCACACACACACACACACACCCTTCTAGAGACGAAGTGATTATGTATCTTAGAGGCTGCTCTCCACTCTGCTACAGCCCCACGTGTACTGAACTTTTAAAATGTTAGTAATTGATCACTTCTTTAAGACATGCACTCTAGCAGCTGTTCTATCCCCGGGGAAGGTTGATACCCGATCAGCTATAATGTGACCACTATATACAAGCACGCATCTTTTAAGATTTCTAGCTCACCCTCATGCTGAGGTTACCGGGGCTTTC